CATCTTTAAAATCAACTTTGTGAAAAACAAAGCATTTTTTTTTATACCTTTGTCTCTTACAAGCCACATAATAGAGATTATGTGCACCAAAATGGGAAGTTTAAGGAAAAACAAAATGTGAGAAATCTACCATCACAAGGCTGGTTAATGACTTTCTTTTCTTTTATACATTTGTAAAAGAAATTACAAAATGTTACTTTGGGAAGCTGAAAGCTTATCAATCATTTAGTTTTCAATGAAGAAACAAAGGCAAAGAGAAGTTAGCTGCTCGGTCTGAGGACACTCAGCCTTACATGGTACCTACCACTAGGACTCAATCCCAGTGTGCCAGTCCAAAGTCGGCTGTTTCTCCCTTCCCCACCTTCACAGATTGGGTCCCTTTTATGTACCTGTTGGCAATACTCTCATTCTTGGTAGGAAATAGGTAATTTCCACTTTCTAGTGCCTTCTAGACAGAAACAGGAATGATCCCTCATCTAACAATTTGAGCACATTAAAAAACAAGTTTCTAGCCCAAACCAGTTTGACTCAGTGGTAGAGCATCGGTCTGCGAAACGAAGGGTCCGGGGTTTGATTCTGGTCAAGGGCGTGTACATTGGTTGCGGGCACATCCCTGGTGGGGGGGTGTGCAGGAGGCAGCTGGTCGATGTTTCTCTCTCATCGATGTTTCTAGCTCTCTATCTCTCTCCCTTCCTCTCTGTAAAAAAATCAATAAAATATATTAAACAAACAAACAAACAAACAAACAAAAACAAGCTTCTAAGAAGACTTGGTACAACTTTCTCTAGGCTTACTGTGTGTGGCAACAATGGGTTATGATAACAGCTAAGATGAAGTGTTTCTGAAAAGAAAATGGAAAGCATGTGCACAATGTTGAGGCTATTTAATTTAATTGGCTCTTGGGAAGCAGATGTACAATGGCCACCCATTTAGATATTCTATTATTAAACACTTTTCCTCCCATTGTTACATTGTTATATATACATTTTAATTAAGATAATTTCCATATACTAAATAGGTATGTCAAGTAAGGTTTTTGATATTTATTGTTCAAACTTCATTGGTACATCTGCTGGAGAAAATATAAAACCTCTAAATACTGTGATTGCTAGGAAACAAAGCTTTGCCATAAGGAGCCTACCTTTCTTTAAAAGGAAAATTTTAATCCTTCACACGCCATAGTTATGTAGAAAAGTGCTAAAAAAAAAAAAAGTTCAGATACATAATATAAAAAACTAGACACTTCAGAATTTCTGATAAGAGGAGACCAAGTCAACAAATACACTGATCCTACATCTCCATAAAATAATTTTAAAACAAAAAAGGAATGAACAAGAAGACACCCATAAGTGAGACAGGAAAGTTATCAGAGGGAACAGAGGCCCTAGTTCTATTCCTCCCCTTCCCTTCTAGGTTAGAACAACATTGGATGGGACTTGTGGCTAGATAACTACCCGCTGGCTGCCCCTGCTCCCAATTTTCTGGGGTAAAAAAAAAAAAATAGTTGCAATAAACAAAACTGTTCTCTTCCAGAATTGGCAGCTATGCTGACATACTTCCCAGTTTTGAACCCACTCAGCCCTCAATTCACCATGCCACCATCCAGAGAGGAGGGATTGAGATGAACTGCCTGGAAGACCCCCTCACCCCATTGTCAGAGACCATGAACCACCCCACTCCCTCCGCTCACCCTTTGCTGATCTAAACCTCCTCCCAGATCCTATCAATGTGACTCACTACTTGAGTTTACCTGCACTCCTCTCCTGGGGTGTGTACTGCCACTTTAATAAATCTGCTTGCTTTGTTGAATCTCTCGGTCATGCTCTTGAATCCTTTCTTGTCAGGTGACAAGAACCTGGACACAGACACTCAGTGGAAGCCTCCCTTGGCCTCCGCCTGAGCCCTCTGGCATCATAAGCACAGTAAGAATGAGTGAGAAGACCACAGTAAAGAAGCTAAAAGCCAACTGACAGCTGATAATTGACTTACCTGACTTGAAAAAGAAGAATTCTAGACCAGCAGTGGTGAAAAAAAAATCAAGAAGCAACCAAATTTCTGCTGAGAATCTACACCACCCACCCCATAAAGACTCAGGAATTTTACACACCAGCACCTCTGTAAGTGGAGACAATGGCAGAGCCTTAAAGGGGAGCACAGATTCAAATACTAAATTCAAATAAAAGCAGTTAGACACCTCGTTTCCTTTTGCCAACCTGCAGGAGTCTGGAAGTTTATTGTATGGAGGGAATAAAACACAAGGTTTGTGGGCTGACTACAGGGCGTCAAACACTGTAGAGAGCAGGCCTACTGTGCTGCAACTAGAAAAATAAAGACATGTTCACATATAAACTACTGAGACCTTTTTTCGCCCCTTCAGTTCAGAGTGCTGTCATCCAGGCTTCTATTATCATGGCAGGACAGTAGAACAGGCTTCCCAAGGAGCAGTCAGATTGCTCAGAAAAAAGAAAAGAAAAAACACCCAGAAAATATGTAAAGATACTAACTCAGTGCTCCATGCCCCACACCCAATCACCCTTTGATGAAGCCCCGGTAACAAGTTCTAGATTTGCATAGAGAGTATCCAGTCAGCTCTTTAGTAGTTCACTTGTCAGTATGGACAGACAGTTAAAGTCACCTAAACACTTAGAAGCTACTAATTGTGAAGCCAAAAACAAACAGGAAAAAAAAAAAAGAATCTTTAGGAGAACAAAAATATACAAAGAGGAAAAAAATTATCATTAACATCACCAGAGAAATAAAACAATACATCTATAAAAAGACAAGCATAATATAACTTTTAAGAAGTAGGCATTTAGAGTTAAAAAATGAACCATTAAAAATAATGCATAGTAAAGAAGAAATAAAATCCCCATAGACAGTTTAAAGGTAAAATTAAGGTTATCTCCCATCTATCGAGCAAAAACAGAGATGAAAAACAATGCAGAAAAAAGTAAAAAAATTAAAGAACTAATGCAGGAGAGCAAATATCCACACACCAAAATACAGAAACAAAAATCATTAATTCAAGGAAATTTCCAAGAGCTAAAGGACACTAATTCCAAGATTGAAGAGGCCCACTAAATTTCCAATACACTGGATTAAAACAGATTCACACCAAGATACATCCTTGTGTAATTTCAGAGTATTGATCCTAAAAGATTTCAGGATATAAAAGATAAAAAATGAGAATAGCATAAGATTGTGGGGCCCTGGGTGCCAGAGGAAAATGAAGTCTTCAATAATATGAGGAAAAGTGAGTTCTAATCTAGAATTTTATAACCAGCCTGGTTATTACTTAAACATCAGAGAAGAATAAACATTTGCCATAAAAGTTTCAAAACCTACATCTCCACCCACTATCATTTTGTAAAAGCTACTAGAAGATGGATTCTGCCAAAACAAAGGAATAAATGAAGAAAGAAGGAGAACCAGGGTTGAAGGTCCACATAAAAAGACAAAGGAAATCCCCAACATTATGGAGAAGCAGGTCCAAAAGCCCCAAGAATCACTTATTCAAAGTTAAATCGATAGGCTGCCCAATGTACATGAGTATAGTATAAAAAGATTTACACGATGTGGGAGAATTTAGAGATGATTTAGTCGAATGTAGATAAGGAACTAAGCAAAAAAAAAAAAAAAAGAAAAAAAAAGAAAGAAAACAGTAAATAAAATATTTATTTGGCAATTATCAATTCCAAAAGAATAAAAAGATAAGCAGAAAAGGCAAAATGATTCCAATATACTACATTGTTCAACTACAATTGCAGTTCACACAGTCATAATAATATAAACATGGACTATAGGTTATTGGTGTTTACATAACTTATTGGGAAGGTTCAGAAATTACTTTGGGGAGTAGTCATAAAAGGGTGTGTACATGTAAGTGAAAGAAAACTAAAACCCCAGCTTCCATAAAAATGTAGATGAAAAATCTAGATGTAGCAATATAAGCAGTATCATTTATAAATATGAAAAGCAATCACCAAATAAATGGCTAAAATAATTTAAAGTGATTACTTTTGGAGAGTAGAAATGAGGAGGAGTGTTATGGGTGTTTTGGGGTTGTTGTTGTTTTTTTGTGGCAATCCTCATACAGATATTTTTCTTCACTAAACTGTGTGTGTATAAAACTTGTATTTTCAAAAACTAAATTTAGATAAAACCACACCTTGTTACAACAAAGAACCCTACCCTAATATTTAAGAGTGCTATACATTTTAAAATTGTTCCTATCTATTGCTAATTTCAACTCAACTACTCTTAACCAAAGTCACATGACATGACAGAGTTCCTGCCATCTATGTAACAAATCGATTTTTGTTTGTTTGTGAAGTAGCAAGGTTAACATCACGAATGCCATAACTGATTAATTCGGACTCACTGAGCAGCTCCTGTATTCTGAGAATGTGTGTCTAGATCTAGAACATCATAGTTCTTCTGACACAAAACAAATACACACTGCTACTTTTCACTAACTGTGGAGAGTTCGATAAAACTGAATATTATACCTACAAGCTCCTTATTAGTAATCACATGAACACTATTATAGATAGGCATTTCAATCAACAAACCACTTGGAGATATTCCCTAAAGTTCAGACAGCTTGCAATCACCATTTCCCCCTTGGATTTCTGTTTCAACAGTAATGAAGGCTATAACCAATATAGGCACCAAAATGATTCAGTATATCCATTCAACAAACATTTCTGATAGAAGTCTCCTAGTCAATTTGTAAGCCTCCAAACGATTTCACAGATAATAAAGCCACCCACCTATAGAAAACTGATCAAATTAAAAAGAAATAGACACAATCAAGGCATTTGATGTATGCAGGAATCTTAAGAAAGGTCTTGTCATACTCATTTAAAAGAAGCCCATCTGAGAATCCAGAATTTTCAAGAGGGAGTCACTGTGGGCCTCTAACCTAAAACGTGTTCTTCCTCCCGCTTTCAAGGACACCATATGGCAAATTATGTTCTCAGGAAAAGAAACAAACTTACCTTTCACAAGCTCGGACAGTCCATGCGGCAATTATCCATAACGAGATACTAAAAACCAAGAGTACAGTTCCTGGGCATATAGTCATTAAAGTCTTCATAACAAAACGCGTATTGAAGTTTATCTTATTTAGTGCTCCAATGCTTCTAGAGGAGGCATCAGTGAAAAGTTTGCTATGTAAAAGCATGACTCTGGCAATCAGATAGAGTCTTAAGAACATTGGTATAGATAAAATAATATCCACATCAGCGGTGGTTGTGGATGGGGTATAGGAGAAGGCAAGCCGGGCCGTCCATGTGAACGTATAATTCCCAGGTATGGGATGAATAGCACACACCAGTATTTCCAAGCAGATGAAGAAAATACGCTCATAAGTCATGGCTATTCTCCAGTCATCTGCTCCATTGTCCACCATGAACAACTGAAAAAATAAAGTAGAAAATCAGCTTCAGTATGGCATGAATGGTCCACAAGTGTTAGTGCAGATTTTAAAAATACATAACAGATGATTTCTAGCAATCATGGCACGCTAGAGGGGTATGATTTTAAATGCTAGCCAGGTACCCTATTTTTAGAAAGTGGTAATTGGCACAAAAGGAGAATTTCATTTCGTAGAAATTAAAAAAAAAAAAAAAAAAACTACACGTGCTACCCAGGAGCTGAGATTATTTTGGGGTCCATGCTCCTGGCCAATCATGTAAGGAACATCGTTTTAAAATAAGGGGGTTAGGGCCTATCACAGGAAAGCACCCCCCTTAGATGAAGTTGGGTGAACTTGCCTAATGACAAACTGTTTTCCCTTGAAGGGTTTGGATCTAAATCCTTACGCAATTCTAACCACACTTTCAGTGAAATCTATTTATGGTGCCTCTGCAATCAGTTATACCCAATAATGCACCTACACATGAGCGTTCTTACAAGAAATCTTATTCTTGGCTTCAGAGTGAAAAGCACAAAAGACTACAGTCAAATGTAGCAGAGGCCTTTCTTCCAGTATCCTTACGCTGTCATATGTTCCATCTCTTTTCTTCTGCTCTCCCTTAGCCTTCACTGGGATTCTTTGTTTTCAATCTTTCTTTCTTTAATAAATATTCCTTTTTTCCCTATCTTTGTCATCTGGGATTATTTGTTTTCAATATTTCTTTTTTAAAATAAATATTCCTTTTTTCCTATTTCTGCCATTCCTCTTACCACAATGAAAGAAAATTTTTAAAAAAGAAAGAAAAAGGAGACAGATAGATGGATGGATAGATAGATTAGAAATATAGACATATGGAGAGGGGGGAGGAAAGAGAGAGAGAGAAAGAGAGAGAGAGAGAGAGAGAGAGAGAGAGAGAGAGAGAGAGAGAGAGAGAGAGATTGAGAAATGTTTCCTGGCTTCCCTGTCTTTTCAGTAAACAAGTCCACCATGCTCTAGGAGTTCATGAACAACCAGAAGCATTTTCAAATGTGTGGTGACATTTCTGACAGCCACAATGACTTTTGGGGGCTACTGGTATTTAGTATCAGGAAGCCAAGAGTGTCAATCATGCTGCAAAATTCTGGGAGTCCCACACACCAGAAAGACCTTTTTGGCCAGAATGCCAATAGTACTCTCCCACTAAGAAAGATTTATTTATTTATTTATTTATTTATTTATTTATTTATTGCCTTCTGGTAAGTAGCCAGCTTAAATAGAAAGCATGAGATGAAAGCAACCCAAATAAGAACCAAACGTTCTCAGGGAATTAAACCCTAAAGGTTGGGAAAGCAGGTTTCCCCTAGGGCTGGATTCTATGTTCTGTTCCTCTAGAGTCAGGAAAGTATTTCCTCCCCTCCCCAATTTTAGATGTTTGAAAATTCCCATACTAGTGAATTTTTCCACAGGTAGTAATTATTTCTCAGGATGTCATTAAACACTGCCATCAGTGTTACTCTGTAAGGGCAGACATCTGAGGACAAAATTACTACTCTTTTCTGGTATCTCAAGATGAAAACTAGCAAAATCTCTCAGAAACATATCCAAGTTTTAACAAATTAAGTTATGACAACATAATGGCTTATAGGTATGCCTTTATCATAACTTTTCATCTAGGGACCTTATAGTGTTTGACGGATGCTAATAGATAACAAAAATTTATGTTTTTCCAGTGTCCAGTTAAGAAATAGATCATAAATAAAGCATCCCAATCTGGCTATAGAAATATTCCTTTTCAATATCCCTACTTTGATTATGGGATAAAGGATTTCAATAATTTATACAAAATGTTGTATAGATGCAATGGCAGGAGCCTTCTAAACTTCTTATCAGTCAGTACTTTACTGAGTACTGTGTAACTCTGAAGAAATGTGATCCCCAACTCTCCTAAGATGTTTATATCCAAAGTAATGTGTCCCTCAAACTAGTTCCTTTGTGAGGTTTTATACACATTCCAAAAATGTAGTACCTGCTCTCTTCGGAAATTATTCTTAGGTTCTGTTACAAATCACAGAAAGAAACCAGTATTGTTATTTAGATCTATATTTCCATTTCTACTGAAAATTGTATTACCCAGTTTGAATTTAGCTTTGAATGACTTGGCAAAAATCAAACCTACCTCCACAGTGGCTAAGAACCAACACTCCAGGTAATCAAAAGCTGTGCCACAGATTCTGAGCTCAATTCCAAGATTTCTCAATACCATTTGGGGCAACAGCAGCATAAATGCAGAATAAGTACTTTCCCGGTAACTTGAAAAGAAACTCCAATTCAGATCTACAATTCTGGGACTGGCCCTCCTTCGATCATTCACGGTGCACTGGCTCCTCTGACCTCACTCTATTTTCTCTTTCCAAGGCCCCTTTCATTGCCCCTTCAGCTCAGTTCCCTGACTAGGCTGGTTCTCTATTCATTCCCATCATTTCAACCATTATCTCCCCGGCATTCTCAGCAGCCCCAACCCCCTAGACCTTCTGGTGGGCCTGCCCACGTAACCTCCAAACTGGGACCTGATGTCCACGCTGCTTCGGGTGCACTGGGGCCACCACATACCCATGCCTTGAAACTCAAGCTGAACCCTCCTCAGCTTTTCCTGTGATCTTTCCCTTGTCTCCATAGCATCTGCTCCAAACAATCAGCTTTCTTCCCAAGGGCTATCTTTGTCCCTTGTTCTCTCAGTACACTTTCCCCCCAATATCAGAAATATCCTCTTTTATACTTCAGTTATAAACTTACCTACCTCTCACCTTTCTCTCCATATTTCCCTTTTCTCTTGCTCTACCTGTCTTAAACAATTTTACACCAAAATCTAATTCTCCTGCAGTGAGAGACTATTTTCTTTCTTTCTTTTTTTCAATTACAGTTGATATTCGGTATTAATCTGTACTAGTTCCTGATGTGCAATACAGTGGTTAGACAGTCTTGTACTTCACAGAGTGTTCCCAATATTTTAAGTACACACCTGGCCCCATACATATTACAATATTATTGACTATGCTCCCTATGTGGTACTTTACATCCCCTAAGCCAGTGGTCGGCAAACTGCGGCTCACAAGCCACATGCAGCTCTTTGGCCCCTTGAGTTGTGGCTCTTTTACAAAATACCACATACCCTAATTAAGTTATTAATAATAACAATGTACCTACCAATATAGTTTAAGTTAAAAAAAATTGGCTCTCAAAATAAATTTCAATCGTTGTACTGTTGATATTTGGCTCTGTTGACTAATGAGTTTGCCAACCACTGATAGGCTATTCTGTAACTATTAATTTGTACTTCTTAATCCCTTCACCTTTTTCACACAGTCCCACAATGCCCCTCTCATCTGAAAACTACCAGTCTGTTCTCTGTATCTATGAGCTGTTTCTATTTTGTTTGTTTAGTTTCTGTATTCTCTCTCAATAGACTACAAGCTTGTTCAAATCTCTACTGTTCACTGGAAACAGAGACTCTCAAACAAAGAAGAACTTCTATTGGTTCTATATCTGATCTACATGGTACTGATTTTCTGAATTCTTTTTTTTAAAAAAAGATTTTAAATTGATTTTTAGAGAGAGAGAGAGAAGGGAGAAGGAAGAAGAGAGAGAAACATAGATGTGATAGCAAAACATCATCGATTGGCTGCCTCATACATAATATTGTAATATGTATGGGGCCAGATGGGTACCGGAGATGGAGCCCACAACCTGGGCATGAACCCTGATCAGGAATCAAAGGCATCCCTTTGGTGCATGGGACAATGCCCACTAACCAAGCCACACCTGTCAGAGCCTGAATTCTCTTTTATCCCCCAAGACCCAGAAGTGGCTTTTGCCCCATCCCTCTACCAAGACTACTGTTACAGAGTTTGTTAATTACAAAGTCACTCCTTCCACCTTAATTTTTATCTTACTTGATCTTACTCATTCTTTCCTAAAAAAAGACACTTTCTCTTAGCTTGTGTGACATATTACTTTTATTGCTACCACTCTGAAGGCTCCATCTCAGTTTCCCTGAAAACCACCTTACTCCTCCCCAACTAAGTGCTCCTACTCTACTGAGGTCCATCTCTGACTCCTCTCTGTACTTTCCTGAGTGCTCTCATCATGCCTTCTATCCCCACTATCACATTCCTCTTACTGGAAGCTACCCTCCATCCTCTAATTACCCTATCCAAATGTGGAATTATAGAATTCCATTGCTGTTAAGATTAAAACCATTCAAAGGCTCCCATTCCACAATCCAGTTGGATTCTCTTTAACCTCATTGCCTATGACTCCTCTTGCATTTCCCTCTGGTTGCAGATTCTGGAGCACACCACCCTAATCATGTTTCTAAGTCTTTGTACATATAATCCTATGGACTGGAACATCTTTCTACCTCAAAAATGCTTATTCCTTTCAAACAAAACTCCAAAGTCAGCTCTTTAGGACACTGTCCAGGCCACAGCCAAGTCTAAAAATCCCCTCCTTTCTTCTACCAAGATCCCTGTATATATCTCTTATAGATGCTGTCACAGAGGACAATAAGTGTTTCTTTGTATATTACCCCTACTTGACTGTGAGGCTCCTTGAAGACAGGAGTCATGTCCACTTAGTAGAGGTAAATATTTATTAAAGGAACTGCCTTTCTATTTTTCATTTAATATTAAGTATCCTGATTACTGGATAGGTCCTAATGTGAATTAAATATGCTCACAGAAGGCCCTGGCCAGGTAGCTCAGTTGGTCTTCCCAATAAAACAAGGTTTTGAATTTGATCCTTTGTCAGGCCACATCCAAGAAACAACCAATGAATGCATAATAAGTGGATCAACAAATTGATGTTTCTCTCTTTTTTCTTTCTCTCTCATCAATCAACCAACCAATTAATTAATCAATCAATAAAATGCTCATCGAAGAAAAGAATCCTAAAGCATAACACAAGTGAAATAAATACATGACATTTTTGAAATTTGTAGGAAACACATCTTACTAAATGCTAAG